ACTCTATGGCAGGCCACGAAGCAGAACACTTGACAGAGCCAGAGCAAGTGTATAAACAGGTAATTAAAAATATTTAAATAACATTTTCCTAGTCCATCAGTGTAGCCCTATCGGTAACACTGTTCCTAAGCAACGCAGCCTTGTCGGTAGCGTTGGTTCCAAGCCCATCAGTGTAGCCCTATCGGTAACACTGCTCCTAAGCAACGCAGCCTTGTCGGTAGCGTTGGTTCCAAGCCCATCAGTGTAGCCCTATCGGTAACACTGCTCCTAAGCAACGCAGCCTTGTCGGTAGCGTTGGTTCCAAGCTCATCAGTGTAGCCCTATCGGTAACACTGCTCCTAAGCAACGCAGCCTTGTCGGTAGCGTTGGTTCCAAGCTCATCAGTGTAGCCCTATCGGTAACACTGCTCCTAAGCAACGCAGCCTTGTCGGTAGCGTTGGTTCCAAGCTCATCAGTGTAGCCCTATCGGTAACACTGTTCCTAAGCAACACAGCCTTGTCGGTAGTGTTGGTTCCAAATCCACCATTAATTAAAAATTCTTATTATAATTCTTAATATGTATTATATATTTATTAGCAAATAAGTTATAAATATTGTAAAATAAATTCCGAAAACTAATAAAGAAATTAAAAAAAAATTAAGTGGCTTGAAAATTATTATACGAACGATTCAGGGTTACAGAGAAAAAATATTCTTGTAACGACTCTGGGATCCGGCGAGAAAAACCCCGGCTTGAGAGAAAAAAAAAAGGTTCTTTACACTATAATACAAAAGATATTTCACTTGATAATCCATTGCCAGCCATACTGCAGCCTTTTGGTAAAAGAAATGAAATAGAAGAAGTACTTTCATTAGAGATGATAAAAGATTTACAAATCAATAATACTCAGTACATTCATGTAATATAATCAAAAAACAAAATTAACTTATTAACAAATATTGGTTTGAGTTGCATTGTATTAATTTCTGTAATTTATTTAATTGTGAAAGCAGTCATCCAAAAGAGATCCAATAGTATAAAAATAGATGTGAATCAAAAAGATGAAATACCTGAACACCCAGTATCTTCAATAGAACCTGCAGTGATAGAATTGGGGCCTATGACATCACAAAAAACTACAAAACCAAAACCAATTTCTCGAGTCAGTCAAATATCGGTTTTTTAAGAAAAAGAAATAATACAACGTTAACAAACGAGGACGTTTGTTTTTAAGAAGGGAGGAGTTAACGCCATAAATTATAAATCGCTTCACATTGTTTAGATACTCTAAGCGTTCATAGGATTAACGCTTCTAAAATGTGTGTGTGAAGTACTTCATAAACAATCTTAGTAATAAAATTCATATTTTATTGTCGTGCATTAAACACGCACAAATATTGTTGTGCATTAAATACGCACAAATATCAACTATTTGTTTACATAGTTACTTTTAGGTTTAAGTCTTCTGTTAAAAATTATAAGTTTCAGTTTTTAAGTAAGATTTCAATAAAGAATGATCATACTGATCATAAGAAATATTTTTTAAAAATAAATTGATTAAAGAATAAATTTAATTTGTATAATTATTTTTTTAAAATGAATTATATACAATTATTTTTTTTTATTGCACATATCTAATTATTTATAAAAATTATGAATATAGTTTGATATAGTGAATTATATATATATTTCGTTATTATGCAATGTAATTAATCGAAAAAAAAAAAAATTTTTGTTAATATATATCCAAATTAAATTTAAGATATATTAACAGAGAAAAAAAATTTAATATGTAGACCGAAATGAAGAGAAAGAATTAAGTAAGGGGATATATTTTTTTGGTGTGTTGTAATATAAACTTTTAGGTTCTGCACCAGTTGACGTCAATAGCAGAGAGACCAGTAAAAAAAAAGGTAAAATTAAGAGAACGATAAACCTTCTCTTACTTTGGGTGTACAGAAATACAAATGTTTTGTTAATGTGTTAACATTTAACTAGTAGAATTATTAATTATTATAGAAATCTGAATTAGATGAAATTTTAGATGTTTTAAATACAAACATAAGATTATATTAAACTTAAGTGAAATTAAAAAAAAATAAGTTTGAAAAAAGAAAAAAAAACCAAGAAATCATGTTACGTTAGTTTTAAGATTGGAATAAAGATAAAAAAAAAATAAAAGTTGGAAAAATCAAATAATAATGCAGGCTTAAGATTTATTTATTTGGCGGTGGTGAAAGTACCTAGGGAAAAATAGAATGCATGTAGGTTGAAGTGTGACAGAGTGAATGAAGTGTGAAATATGTTACAGACAATACAGACGATGACCGTTGACGTTTCAAGCTGCTGCAATATAGCTAACACAATCAGGCAATGGCTATATCGTTAGATATAGGTTCCTCACACAAACTGGTTTCCGTCTAAATCCAATAGGTGACATGAATTTTTTTTGGTTGTAGTCCGCGGATGTTGATGAATGTGAAAAGAAACCACCCCCAAAGGCGGCGAGCATACCGGGCTGGCCACCATGTCACCACCTGCACGTTCACAGCATATTTACCACCGAAGACAGAACACAACAAAATATCTCACAAAGCCTACGCGCACTTGTGTATTTAAATTCAATCAGGCCTAATACCTATACTTCTTATGGCAACATTGTTGCACATTGTTTTCTTTTCAAACTGCAAGTATCTTGCAGAAAACATATTAAGTATCATTTAAAATATTTGATCGATGAGATGTCCAAATACTATTGGATATAGTCACATATTGACATTGATTTCTAAGTGGGTACATTAAACCAAGAACTTTAAAGCGATCTTTACATGTGATTTCTACAGCGATTATGCGGGAAGGATCTGGCAGCTTCTCGCTCTCACGCTCTCGCTCTCACGACCGCTGGATAAGTATAAAGCACGTGTAAGGTGAGCTTTTAAGAAACTTTGAGCCTTGGTTTTAACATCAGTTTAGAAAGAAATTTAATGTATTGAATTATAAAAATAAATTAAAATACAAACAATTATAAAAATAAATTAAAATACAAAACTATTATAAAAATAAATTAAAATACAAAACTATATAAATCTCGTCATCTGGCTATTGACGCCAAAACTAAAGGCGCTTACGAGGCGCTTTAGAAAATAGAAGCTTCAATCCTATAGGATGGAGATAAGAAGCTTCTAGAACATTCTAAGGAATTTTAGAATCTGTAATTTGATTGGTCAAATCCAATTCAAATAATAAATACGGTCGTTGGCGGAGTCGCTAAGTCTTCGTTTAAGAAGACGCTGTAAAAGATTGGCAAAGTCCGGTTGTCATATTGTGTTTAATACAAATTAATAAAACACAATTTAATTAAAATTAATAATGAACATATTATATAATAAATTATATATATTATTAAATAAATATAATTTTTTTAAAAACAAAAAACAATTCGGCTAATTTAAATAAATTTGAGTGAATTTAAAAAGTAACAAATTTATTAAAAAGGGAATATACAAAGTGAAAATAACTTGTTATTTAATAATAATAATGTGTAAAAATTAATTGAAACTATTAACTATTTATATTAAACTATTAATATTAAATAATAAATACTTTAATACACTTTAATATACTTTAATAATACAAACTAAAGTAAATTGTTGAATAATAAACAACATGGATAAATCAAATAGTCATCCACCACGACCAGTGGAACATTTATTGTTCGCATTGATGAAAAAATAAGGTGATAATAAGGTGGTGATAACGTAACGATAAAGGACATAGAAAATATCGAACGATCAATAAAGTATTTAAGTGGA